AAAAAAGTGTGTAAAACAGAACATGTACATACGTACATGTATGAATATGAGGATGTACACATTCGTATTATAATGTTATGTTCAAATTGTAACATTATATAGATAGATCTAAATATTTACTTCACTCATTTTCGCGTAATTTTATACATTTTTAACTCACCGCTTTCTTAAATTTAGAACAAGCGTGTTATATATCTTGCAAACGTGACGCATTATTTAACTCTAAACCGCTATTGTTTCAATTGATCACATGGTAAAGAGTTACTCTTATTTTCAAGATTTCTATGTATTATATGTAGTTTTTTAAAAACGACCTACACTGGCCAATGATTTTAAACTACTGGCGATATTAAATCTATTTGTGAGTTTCTATATATTGTTTTCTTTTTAGGCTAGTTTTCTAACTTCTTTTCTAAGTTCTTAGAATTTATTAATCCAATTAACACATGTAGCATTTCTATTTTATAATCTTTAATGATTAATTAACTAAAGACTTTCGATATTAAATTGGGCCTTGAGAACCAAACACGATTCGTTGTATGTGAGTCTTTACGCATTTTTCCTTGTGACTCATTTCTTTAACCCGGTAACTGAAACTTTGTTCTGTAACGAGGATTTCGAAAGAGATCCGTGACATTTGAGATTTGGATCTCGGAGTTAGATACTCTCAAATTTAATTTCTTTCCGTTTTTCTTTTCATCTTTATCTATGATCCGTTCCAGCTGAGAAAATCTCAAATCGGTTGAACAAATGGTTAAAATATAAGCGTGGAATATTTTTCTGCACAACCAATTCTTAAGCTTTATGAATCTGTAAAGTTATAATTTTTTACTTTATTCGTTACTCTGACAGTGGATAATAATGAATAATATTAGAATTTCGCTACTCCTGCTCTTACATAATAAATGCTAATTTAAAATGAAGATTTTGGTGAAACTCCTCGCTTTAGATTTATTGTATGTAGATGTTGCACAGGAAAAATAAAAAACATTTTATTGCACATTTATGCACATTTCTCTTCCCGTCTTTTAATTAAATTTATCAGTAAATAATTGAGTTAAAACGAATAATCCCGACTCTTCGTCATTTTAATTACAAATCGATACTCGAAATCCAACGCCTATCGCACAGACGCGTCATTTTCCTCATTATTTTTCCTCGGTTTTTACGCGTGAGTATCTCTGTACAGCCATACGAGATGAAAACTATCGCAACCGTTTTCCGAGCGACAAGGGGCGATCAGAGACATACACGCCGAACGATAAATCTTGTTTGTTTCCGTGTCGATGGGCAGCTCCGACACCATCGAAAGAATGAGTTCATATCTTCGGGGCAGAATGGAGTCTATATTAGTCCCATCTGCCTTCTCCAGAAAGGCTTCTGCATGAGCGAGCATTACTAGGACGAGACTGCGACAGACAAAAAGGAGAACGGACGGTCGAACGCGTAGATACATCCGGATTATATGCGGCCAATTGATCACGAATCTAACGTTGTCTGCAGTGCCTCTCTTGTTGCCATACACCGACGGATTTACAACAGTTACTTTCACAGGAAATATCACCGTACGATCATCAACGCATCGCGATCAATGATGAAATAAGAATACGATCTGCTGCAAAAAGTTTATTCTTCCACTCTACCATGCAATAATCGTCGTCTTCAAGCTTTACGTAATCATAATAGTCTTCTAATACTCTTCTTTGCATTTGTCGCTTGCACGATCGAGAATGCTCATTCGGTTAATCTATTCTTCCTCTCATTCCACAAGATAGAGGAATTAAATTACTAACTGTATAAATACAAAGATATGTTTCTTAAACATTTATTTTATGTATTGCTTAACGAACAAATCAATCTAAACGCGAGTTGGACGTTGATGTGCGAGTTCTCATTCGTATTATTGCGTACACATCCCCTCATTTTTATAACATAAACTCGCATTCACTGTTTGTTCACACGTGTCCATCTTTATAATGAGATTTTATAGATGCTCGTTTATTATCTTCTCTGGCAAACAAAATCAATTATTAAGGTAGTTATTTCGTAAAATCATTTATGTGAGAATTGTTTCAAATTTTCAGTTTAATTTTTACATTAATACGTACAAAATAAGTCTAATTAAATTAAAATTGACCGTCTCAAAGTTCTAAAAAGAAAGTTAAAGTTTGCTATGTTACACGAAATATTACGTGTAAAATTCGTTAAAAATATTATTACACGTAATAATATAATTCGTTGTAATATTAGTACACGTGAAATATTATTTACACATATTATTATGTGTTAAAATATTAACAAATATGTTATAAAGTAAAATAGAACGAATAACTGGAAAAAAATTATTGACCGTTCCGTTTCAACAATATAAATAATTAAAAGTGAAAAATGGGAAGAATTGTGTAGTAGACATAAGTGTAGTGTAAGAAAAGTGGCAACAGCGCCTCAAACTATAATCTTTCGAATATTGCAGCAAGATCTATCATTGTAACAATTGAGTGCTGGTTCCTGTCTGGAAGAAACTTTCGAGCATTACTGCCGCGAAACAACTACCTTAATCGAGGAAGCGAAATGAACAATACAGGACTCGTATATCGATGAGCATGAATGTAAAAGAATGAAAATCGTAAGTAGAGGAGGAGAAAAATAAAAGCAATGATTATAAGAAGCGGCGAAGGTGAAAGGACACGTGAATGAATAGGTAAGAAAGAAAGAGAAAAAAACGACAGCGAGACGAGAAAAGGGGAGAGATAAAACAGAGAAGATGAAATGGAGAAAAAGAGAGTCACGTGCAGCGAGAGGAGATGTGTTTTACGTTTGAAACCAGTTCCTATGGTTTAATTTCCACGAGTGGACACATCTTCTTAATTTATGGCGCCGGTATACCCTGTCTCACACTACTGCGGCCCGACCTCGCGTCTCTCGACATTTTATTGGATCGACTGGGCGCTTTGTGACCTGCTGGCTCTTTAATACGATCGCATCGCATCGTCGAGAGATCTCGGCGTTTCGAAAGAATGTACCTCCATAATGTAACGATCGCTTCGATTGCATACGGTTTTGATATTAGGTTTTTGACTCATCGCTACGAATTCATTGCTCTATGCTTTCATAAAAGCAAACTATAAACGCCGTGCAACGTGAAGGAAGTGAATCTTTCAAAAACGATTAAATGAAAATAGGATAAGAATATGCTACCAATATTGTTGTGTGACAGTGAAGCAGATATCACCTATTATTGAAGACTCTTATGTGTTACAGTAACAGCCAAATTATATGACTAGGCTAGATAGATCATGCTAGAAATACATGTATTTACGTAAACTATTTTTTCGAAACGATTGTATTCCTTTTGCGTGCCAAATAATCTTCAACCAATTGATAAGACATGCTTAACCTAATGTAACGTTATTAAAAAACGTTACTAAGTATGTAGCACGATTACTAAAGTAGAGTTTATTAAACCTGAGTTAATCTAAGAACGAAAATGTTTTAATAGTTTAAGGTTAGCTTCTAAACAATTTGAATAAAATTGTCAAAGTTATAATTATTTTCAAACCTTTTCCATTATAATAACAGACGCAGAGCAGTTGTGAAAATAATATTCAAAATAAGAGCTTATAGTATTTAGGATTTATCTTATCCCGCTTTGTCGCTCACGACACCGGAGATTTAGGCAGTACGAGGACTAGCAAATCATCCCGAGGGGCTCGATCATGAATCTTTTCCTCTAGTGTGAACTCGTGAAAAATGAGAAATTTCATTGACGAATATTGACTTCCAACAAGTTCACGCTAGAGGAAAAGATTCACGATCGAGCCACAGGAGACGAGGTTTCCACAAAAGACTTTGTGAATACCGCGAAAAAGCCTTTGTCTAAAACTCTCTTTGTAAACTACCGCATAGTACGATAGAAAAAAAATGTGTCCGCTCCGAATGGCAAAGCCATGTCGTAAAGTACGTCTGGAAACTAAAGGATTCACGGCGCATGCTCACGATTATTTGCGGTGTGATTAGCCATCGAGAGAATGTGGAAACCACGTACGTGTGCACCATTTAGCATACGCAAATAAAGCCCGCATCGGCGACGTAAGGTACCTTTGCTTAAACCGCGAGCGTCGCAAAAAGGCACGTCTTTCCGCAGATGGATTCTGGAGCGTCGTAAGAGCGCTATTTCGAATACCGAATAGAGGAGGAAACCGTTTGATTCTCCGTTTGAGAAATCGCCAGAATATTCACCACACTGGAGAAAACTGAAAATACATATGACTTCAACCGGGAAAAAACGTGTTACGTGGAAAATCCGTCGTTGTTTGAACGTCCATGTGACGTAATAATAACAGAAAATTGTGCTTATTCACTTGTGAGAGAAAACAGGAGGAATGAAAAAGTACATATGTTTTATAAAATTTAGAACAATTTCTGCACATTCGATATATTCAGATAATTACGATAAAATATTTGCCAGTATCCTCATTATTCATTAAAATAATATGTAAGATCCCATAATTGTATCCACGAAGAAATTTATACAAAAACTTAAAATTCAGCGCTTCATATTATTATAATTAGCGCGTAATAAAAAGAATTTCTAATCCCAATGCATTTAGCAAGAATGAAGGGAAAAGAGGGAAATAGTCAGTACAGGAAGTGCAAAATAACAACTTACTGCACCTCTTTTTCTCTGTTCTTCCTCTTTGTTCACATATTTTATATATACATACACACGCACACGCACACACACGCACACATTTTCCCGTGATAAAAAAATTCAACTCGTAGTCAACGAACGAGTTAGCAGAGTGGCGATATTTGCGGTTGGTGAGGGCCGGTAGTTGGGATCTTTCAAGAGTGGTGGAGCCGGTTACAAGTGGGGACGAATGGGTGGCACTTAGACAGCCTAGGTACCGGGAACCGGTGCACACCGATTGGTCGACCGATCGGGCCCGGACTGGAGCCGTTGGCGGGCCCAGGCACAGGCGTGAACCGATGGGTAAGAACAGCTCCCCAGATGGCTCTTACTATACGGAGGAAAATCGTTCCTTCGGTACGGCACGGTTCTCCTCAGGCGCTTCGATGCAGTCAAACAGGTCTGAGCGATCGTACAGCACCAGTCCTTTCTCGTCCATCGTCGTAGTCGCACCGTCACACGTGCACATACAAGAGAGACAGAAGGAGAGGGGGGAGAGAAAGAGAGAGAGAGAGAGAGAAAAAGATTAAGAGTATACAAAGACGACCAAGCAGCGACCGAGGAGGAAAAGAGGTGAAGGAAAAAAATCGCAAGAAAACAGCGGGGGAAGTAGAAAAGAAGGAGAGGGAGAGAAAAAGAGAAGGAATAGAATAAATATCGGACGAGGAAGTGCGTGAATTACGATCGATCGAAATTGTATGGTTCAATCGGCGGAATCGAAACCACCGGCATGACACCGCCGGTAGCAGTCTATGCACAACAAAATTGACTGGGTACAGCCAAGCTTTCAAGAGAACCACCGGCCATTGCGCGGAAGAAACGACTTTCATCGAATTCGAGGGTTCAATAATTGAAGAACTATGTGATCGAAGAGATAAGGCATAATAAGAGCAAACATAACGTTACCTGAGAACGAGAGATGTGTGACATATAATAGCAGATTGGAACAGTTGCTTCGGCGGGAACACTATTCTTATTTTGTTGACTCAGTGATCCGAAAAACGGGACTGACATTTGCGTGGATTTCCAACTTATTTAAGTGAGGTGAGTCATTTTACTTTACAACATTTCGATAGTCTACAGAGATAGTGTCAACGACGTGTTAATATATTTATAATTAACGATATATTAACGTATGATATTTTACCACTATACTGATTAATAGTATTGTCATAAACGGTTACGGTTACGGTTATTTAAGCGATGTCTTTCGATAAGAAAAATATCTATTAACATCGTTATAACACGATACGGACGATATCTCGGCGAGCTTACATTTAAATCTCTCAGTGTACGTCGCGTCAGGCATTAAAGTCTCCGGTTCCTGATTCCGTATTCATTACGAAATCGCGCGGAAGAGGTGTTGCAACGGAGCTCTCGATTATTTCCTTTTCTTTTGCAATACAAACGGTATCCACTTATTATTTCCGTAATACAATTGAGTTATACGAAACCGTTAATTCGATCGCGGGAGAAATGATTCTTCAGAGTATTACAGATACGTGAAGCGACTCGGGATTCAAAAGTGTTTTTGCTCATTTTCTTGTATATGTATAAATTATAAAATGTATGGCAATTGATTATTCACGTATATAATTCGAGCCTACTCAAAATGCGCATTCTTAAATTCCGGAGAAGCTCCTTACGGCCTACGTACTTTCGCGAGCGTCCGAGGGGGCAGATAGGGGGGGGGGGGGACCCTCTCCCCAACATGCGATCTCACGTGCGGTTAGTCGTCATCAAATGAAAACATTATCGTTACCCCTCGTCTCTCCGCCTGTTGCTATAATATTTGCCTACTGCTCGCCAGTACCGTAATTCGGCGACACAAAGGGTCCCAAGAGCGACGACGTCTCGCCCGCGTGTGTACGTTGCGCGTACGTGTCGTACCGTGCAAGCGCGAGAGAGAGATGGCCGTTACAATTATTATGCATAAGACCGTCGGCGAGGCTCTCCCATGTCAAAATATATTTATTGCTACTCCCTTGCCCGCGCCCATACCCTTGCCCCCTTGCTCTTTACGTCGACCGCGGTGTGTCAGCCACCTTTGTTACCCTTTCATACGGTTATTACCCACTTGTATATCCTGGCGAGCTCTATGCTCGAGAGAGGTCCGAGAAGAGAATCGCGCACATCTTCTCTTTCTCCTTCCTTCTCCCCTCTCTCTCTCTCTCTCTTCGTCGTCTCCAATCTTTCTCCCGCTCCGATTCATCGCTCATGCACGTGCACGCGTACACTGGCGCGACGAGTTGCGTGCGTGCTCAGGGACGCATCTTTATTTCGGTAAGTTAAATACGAGAGCTAAGGAGGACACGCCGAGATGTTCTCGCGTCAAGTAAGATAATAGCGTTTTTTCAACGGATTCACAATAGGATAGTTAATACGTGCTGAACGAGGAAATTTTCAATCCATAGCGCGAACATATTTCAATTTACCACAAAGCTTTCATCGTCGAGGTAAAAAATGTTAATGTACTACTATTTAACATTTCGCGCGACGATTCTCGGCCGTGAATTTTTAAGCAAGAAGTAAACACGTAGTTTTCATTCACTAATAGTAAAATCTTTCATTCACATAAAACATAAAACTTGACTGAAGGTAAAAATTGACCAATTTCTTGAAACGTATTTACATCTCATTTCTTTTCGTATTGACTCATTTGTATTTTTTGTGGTTACATAATAAATACGCGTTATTGCTGAAATCTCCTATCGCGTCATCTCTGATCTAGTGATACGCAAAAATTAGATTTGCATGATCTTAGTGCAACTGGCGTCGCAAATCTTTTATGCATACCGACCTAAGCGTTGTGTCGCGTCTCATTTGCATATTAACCCCTTCCGGCGTGGCCCGTCGTCGTCGTCACAGGGTCGTGATCTGACTTAACGCCTTTTTGCCGCCACTACAGTGCCACCCTTTTACAAGTCATGCGGGAAGTACCGAGAGAGTCGTGACAAATACGCGTATTATCCTTTTTTGTTCGATTCCGAATGGAGCCTAAGACCTTGACCTAACCGTGCCGCGGCAAAGTGTAAATGAAATATTCGATTAAGAATTCTGCATTCTTAAATCCAACGCTCTCACATGACAGCCACGCCGTACTGATCTGTAAGAAAACACCGGGGCGCTAAATTTTTTTAGCGCGAAACTGAATTGTCACCTTTTAGAAAATATTATTGTTTCCTAAATGAATTAGATCGTGCTTAGGCGAAGACAAAAATAGCCGATTCTTAGAACAGAACACGCTGGAATGTTTTCTTGGAACAGATGTCGAAACAGTGCAGTCGAGCAGGAGTCGAGTGAAACGTGCGAATGCGTGGAAATGTCTCTCTTTATCTTATCTGGATCGTTTAAGAGGCGCGTTTAACGGCCTGCACGCAAATTACCCGTTACTTTTCTAATCTAAATCGATGCTCTTTGTTCACTTGGCGATAACTCGTGAATTACACTGATCTACACTTGGTCCCGCTTCCGTTAGAATGACAACGTGCCTGCGGAAGGCGACCGTGTTGAGTGGATGATCCGATCGTCTTATCGCGTACACCGTGAAACTCGTTGCGGACGAGAGCAAAAGATAATCGCGCACTATGCTTACGTCTTGAACTGGTGAAGCAGTTGCCTGGACTCGCCAGACTCGCACCGAGAAACATCGTTTCGCGAGTAGCTATTTCCACACAGGTTGAAAATAAAAAGTTACAATGATATAACGTTGATATTTGTGAAGATTTAATAGAAAATGTTGATATAATTCTTTAATGAGGAAGTAATTTAATAAGGAAACATTTACATCTCAACAAAACTTCCATTCGGTAAACTTTTGACGATAAAAATCAAATGGACTTCCGAGTACTGTCGCTTAAATGGTGCATTCCTGTTAAACAATCGAAAACTTGAAAGATTTCGTCAACGAGATTGCGTATATACTTTTAAATGTCGCTTTCGTGGAAATCGTACTTGTATCGCGGCTAACGCGCGGCTAACGCGAGTACACACACGCGTGCAATACACGTGCGAAACCTTCCCGATGCTCTTTCGGTTTGCGATATTGCCGGCGTCGTTACAGGACCGTGCCTTCGGCCTTTTATGAGATTATAAATCAATGGTGGCGCGCTTAATCGCCAAATAAAGGGAGATTAAATTGCGCCGGCGAGGCATACCGGTCTCGTGCGTCTTGGAGCGAGCAGAAGACAGATATAAAACCCGGAGCTTTATATTCGAAGAAACCCTGCATTATAATACGCGATTATTTAACAAGTTCCGACTCTACGACTGTCCGTTCTTATTCCAAGAGAAATTATACATATCAAATTGTATATTCATTCGAATATTCCTCGTGAGATTTGACGATAAAATATTTAACGTGCGGCGAAACACACTTGTTGTTGTACGAAAGATTCTTGGAAAGGAGGGGAAACGCTCGTTTCGCTGCACGTTTTCATTCACATGACTTATTTAATATCGTGATACGCTTCTTTCGCCTGGATACTCGGCTACTACAAAGTAGCATGTTTTTGGGTCCTGAAAAAGTCCTGAATAAGTAAATTACCAGCATGTATCACGATCTAGATGACCATGCACGATCTCGCCAATCACGCGAGATTGTCTGGCAAAACGCAACGCGGATGTAAATCACTGCTTAGTCACAGTCGCGTGCAATATGCACCTTCGAGCGTACGCAAAATACGCATATGCAGATTCTCGATCGCTCGAGCGTCACTCCCCTCGTATATCACGAAAATATATTTATCGCTAAATTCTTCCGCATTAAGTCCCACTTGATTCCCTATCGCGCATACGGCATGCGATTCGAAGTACGATGACGCGACGATTGGTTTTCCTGCTCGGGTCGGCCACGGATCTTTTTTTTTTCCTCCGAGTTGCTCGACCGCTCGCAACGTTATGTATTCATTTGGCGCCTCGGAACGTGCCGCTCGCGAAACGCGTCGTATCTTCGTGGAAGCAGCTGCTCCCGGAGCTAGAACTCCGGCGCGACGTGGCACATGTGCAGTCACATGCACGAGGGCATAACGCGGGCATAACGAATCCACGGCACTTCCGAGAGGAGCACCCATCGCGATTCCCACAAGTGCGAGAGGGTCGCGCACAGGCGACCGTTTCCGATTGACTCTCGAGTGGCGGACGCAAAATCGCTGTTAAAAATCGGATCGGTCACGGCTCGAGGAGGCAGACAATGTCATCTACGACGTGGCTACCTGCGCCACGGCGTTTATGCGCTTCGCGCTCCTCGACGGGACGTGGAGCTCGCTCTAACGTGAGGCTAAACTGTCGCGATAAATGATACTCCGGGAGATTATTAATTGTCTTTGGCTCCCGACCGAGCGTATTGTGGATCGCGAAAACATATTAACCGAAAAGGAACTCCGCTGCCTACCTCGCCATATGCTCGCGGACGAGCGACTGTGCATCTACAGGGTGTGATGAAAAGTCACCCACTATCAGCGGAGGAAAATTTGGAAGCTTCAAGTCGACTTATCGGTGACCTCGTTACATTTTTTCGCCTTTTCAACGAAAACGCCACATCTTGGATTTAATCGTGGCGCGACTTGAATCATTTGCAAGTAAAGCTATGTGAGATTCTTCGCAAGAATCCTTACGTTTCTAAAGGATGCTTATTTAGCGTCATTATTACTAAATTGATCGTCAATTTAATTGTATGCTATTTTAGCTTGAAACTGTGTTTCTCTCAGGATCGACCTTTCTCGGAGCATAGTTTGCTGAGTTGCAAAAAATTATACGCAAAACTATTATTAGGAACTAAAATCCAACCCGACCATGCATACTTCTATTGCTTGCGTTAAAAATATTTCATTTTTAATGTAATTATTCCCACTTCGAAATTATGTGCTCATACCGTTATATCACGACATTTACCACTCTTTCAATTTCGCACGATTATATTTCTGTAAAAGCGCGCCGCTTTTTACACACCCTATATAGTGGCGCATCCTTACATCTATATACTCCCGTTGAGAATGTGCGAGCCGATCATTTTTCAGGGATTTGATCGAACGCGTCTGTGAACG